TTATCTTCTTATACTCTGATTCTCTCATGCATATGCTTACTCTTTTTAGCTTCCCTCTACAAAATCTGGTTGCTCTATAACTAGAGGGCGATGGCGAAAATATTTTCCTTTACTTGTGTACCTTAGATCTTTATGCTCTCTTGAGCTCTCACTTACCCACTACACTACACTATGAAGGTGTTTACTGTGATCTACGGCATTTCTTTTTACACTTTTCACTGGGGAACTTTACTCAGTCAACCAATAACACTATCATTAAGCCATGCCCACCTTTCACCACTAATTTTAGTCCACCTGGTCTCCTATGACAACTGAGCTTTCATGATCTACATGGCTCAGTGTCTCTTTCCAAACCCCTACCAGATTTCGGCCCCGGAAGTGGAGGATGTAAAAATATCTCAGTCAGCACGAAACACCGTTGTGCAGCACTATCATGCCTTACCTGATTTTTTCGGCCTCTCGCTCTTCACATTGCTCGTTACTTACCGTTTTATCTCTTTCATTTACACTTTTCCTGGTTTTCCATCATTATGTGTATTGTAACACTTTAGAGGTATCAATTTACTGTAGATTTTGACTCATTTTCCTGTTTCGGCCATGCTTCTGTTCTGCTTTATTGCAATACTCATATTCTATTGAAGCAGACGGATTAACTGTTTGGTAAGGCAAACTAATTTAGCCTGCGGGTTTCTAAATAAGATAGTTGAGGATATGCTGCCCATCTTGTGTTTTGCCTCCGAAAGGTCTGACCTCGATATAATATAGTAACTGGTTGAAAAAGCCAGCTAACAATAAGGCATCAATAGTGCTTATTTCGAGTCATCTCACCCGCAGAGCATGCACCGTAGGCAACTTTTTCGCCAGTCTTCTCCCCTTTCTCTTATATCTAGCAGAATTGGTGGATCTGATCCCTTTCAACGATGGGCATATTTATTTTTAACTTCATTTTACGGCTCTTTGGACTCTAGAGTCTTTCCGTCCTTTATTCTTGCCCCATGTATCACTTGTCCTCTTCATCTTGCCTCATTCTCTCCTTGGGGTGCTCATATTCACTGCCAGTGAATTCGCAGCAAACATGGACAAGCCTTATGTGCAATCTGCCGCTCAAACTGTACAATCGAAAATTTTATTTTAGAATTCATTTTATTTTATTTTTAGTTTTCTGTTTTTCTATATATATATATATATATATATCCACCAGCCTCACCACCTTCAGTCATCTTTACTTCCTACCTGCCTATAGTGTATCATAATCGCCACTGATGACGAGGATAACGTTAATATTAACGACTGCTGATGATCATTTAAATAGCGTTCTTTGTTGAACTTCTGTCAAGAACACCAATCATTTATTGACATCAAATCACTTATGGAGCCAAGTGATCTAGCTTTTCTAATTTACATCATAAGAATATTTTTTTCTTTATCCAAAACTCTCAAAATTTCAATTTAAAAGTTTATACACATTGCCGAAGGCCGCTGTTTTTCTAGTTACGAAGACATGCAAATACAAAAGAAAGAAATGTAGTAGAGACCACACATTAAAGATCAAATTTAAATATCTCATTTTAATTATTTCTTCCAATTGGAAGGTATTACTTCACATATATAGCAATCCTTTTTTAAAAGTATTCCTTTGCTAAGGAAATTGCGGAAGCCTTAGTAAGAACTTCAAGCTTATTTGGCATATGCATCATTAAAGACTCAAAAATAAGATAAGGCATTTTTAGCATGCTATCCATCTAATATGAATGTGCTGATTTTTTTGCCATTACTTAGGCCACTTCATTGATGGTACATATGAAAGAAGTACCGAAAAATTCGCGTTAAATTCTAAGTCATTTCTAGGTTTATAGTAGAAGCGAGCCCCTTCCAGCAAACCTGAGCTCGGATAAATATGCTTTAATTTGTCGCTCATGTGTGCTTTCACACCTAATTCCACTATGGTCGTGCATTTTAGTGGGTAGCAAGTGTTCTAGCCAAATCAACTCAAATTGCACTCGCTAGTCACAGGCATCGAATATTTTCATAGGTGGCCTAAATAGCAGTATTATAAACGCTTTAAGGGCCTATGGCATCAGCAACCTCAAGAGATAAATATTCAATTTATGTCCGGATAGAGTTTAAGCTATGATTTGACAAAAAACGGACAAATTTGCGAACTAAATGCCTTCACGTAATGATTTCTTCCTAAAGCTTTCTTTGAAGCGGAAAATTCAATCTCGATAGTGTTTGGTTCTATATCACGCTAACGGATTTTAGTCCTATGCTAAGCTTATCTAATTGTGTTAACCAAATTTTGAGATACGCATATTCCTTACGTTTGAAAAGCACTATCTCGTTATCACTGTCATTTAGTAGCCACTTTAATTCAAACAAATTGATGACAAAGACAAAGAGACTTGTCTCTTCGGCGAGTTGTAGTATGATGCTAAGAATGGCAAGATTCACTGACGATGCGGGCGAAACGTCTGGGAATGTACCACGTCCACGGTCCGACTTTGGAAATGATCATACATGCAATGGACTCCGGACTAGGTGCGTTCCTCTAAGTCGTCCTACCAATATGACCAAGCTGCGAAAACACGGTCAAACTTATATACAACGAAAGGAGACTGCGACCACACAAAAGGCCACACCATCTTAGTCTTCATATCATCGGTAAGTTTTAGTTCGAAGAATAACTTTGATGTGCGTAGGCTTTGCTACTGCAGTCCCTCCTTTATTGGGTGAAATTGCATAATTTATAAGTAAGGCCCTCCTAAAACTCAGGTCCTTCCATTTATTTATTTTACAATTATCTACTATATTACCCCTTTATTGAACGAATAATTGAGCATAATAGCTTCAAAGAAGATATATACGAATTCTACAAGTTTAGCAAAGATTAATTCTTCAATTCTTGTAGCCTTGTTTTTATCATAAAATGAATTACCTTTCTCAACTGTTCACTGCCATCTAATAAAACTTCATATTTTTCAAAAAAATATGCACAAATCTTGGATACTTGCACGTGAGATTGCAATCTACACAAAACTGCGACATCTATATGAATGCTACGGAATATCTTTATTCTAACAAGTATTATTTGGTATTAATTAAAGGATAAAAATATTATGCTATTAAGCATTAGAGATGCCTGGTGTAGCCATTTTTACTTTTTTTGCTATCTACTAATCACTTGTCAGTCAAATTTGAAAAATGGACTTTTTAAATCTTATCTATGGAATAGATCAAGCAAGGGCAACGCCGTATGACGTGAGAATAAGTGTGCGAACGCAAATTTTCTAATATACGAGTAAGGTAACCTCATATGCCTATTCATAAAGCAGTTGTGCTACAAGAATGATAGTGCAACGTTAGCGAAAATTTATTTTCCTCAAGGTCACTATAAAGATGAATGCACTCTTTATATTAGTTCAAGATGCGATTCCTCGACTATATTATTGTTTGAGGCTATAATGTGCCAGTAAATTACTTGTAAATGCCACGCTGAAGACGTAAAATGAAATTAGCTCTCAATAGTTTGCCTAGCTAGTGAGCCAAATAGTGACGAAAGTACATAGATGGAATATAACTTGTAGATATAAGCAGAGAAATTAATTTTGGTCTCCAATCAAATTAATTAAATTTCAGTCCATTTGAAATGAATGAATGCGTATTCAATTAAAGAGCAAATATCTCAGTGGCTGAGTGTATAAATAAGTGAGAAATTTCAATAAAAGATTTGATGCCAGATTGAAAGAATATGTGGTGAATGTTCACTATTCGAGGGAAAGCTTAATACATAACGCAGAACTACTATCCCAGAGAGATTAATGATGGAGTGTAAAATCCTCTGTAAGCTTGGACACTCCTCGTGCATATTAATAAGTGGATCTGTCCCGACAATATCCCTCTAAATTCTCATTTCACGATAAAATATGTTTAGGTATAATTAAAAGATAATAATACTTGATTTATTATCGTTCTTTCGCTTGCCTTTCTCTTAGCTAACCGCTTCATATAAAGCTCAATGTTATGTAAATGGATTTAGTGGCAGTAATTCCCTCTTATTATGTCTTTTACCAGAAGCCCACATAGCTTATATCAAATGTCCCTAGTAGATTCATCCGTTTTGGGAAGGGAGTATTCTTGGAAAAGTGATCTGGTCGCATAACGGTGATACACCAAGAGAACCCCAAAAGCCTTTACCGGAACATATTTGTCTTCACAAAAGGCAAAACCTGTAAAATATATCTTCATATTATTAATTGCGCATATAGGTTTTATTTAAATTGTGGCTACACTCATTAGGTATTAGAAAAGGTACTCTGAGTAAAATTCAAGGAAATAAAAATGTCGCATATAGATAATTAAAAGATATCAGTCAGCAAACAATAAAAACGAGAGGTTGTTTGACCTTGTTTTCGCAACTTGGTTATAGCCCAGAGCGTAACCCTGAAATTTCCTTCCATCTTAACACTAATTTTCACCTAAACATAAAACAGGTTGAGTTGCGTGGCTTAACGCACTGATGATGTGGAGGGTGAAAAAATGCAGATGGAGAATCAAAACAGGACGAAATTACCATAATCCCAAGCAGAAAGTAAAATTAGCTGCTGTTCAATTGCGACAGGTATGCTTGTCACCAAACTTTGAGGATTAGCTATCCGGGTTTGGAAAACAGGGGTAATCTGGAACATCTATTTATTCGACTTTAAATTAAACCATCGTTACTCTGACGAACGACGCCATCCAGGATTTGGAGACTTTGCGTCGTGAAGTAGCCTATATACTTCCATGATATTTTGTGGTTAGGCTTAAGAAAATGAGGGTCAGTAAATGAATACAAATATATTTATATGTGCATATTCTTGGATAAAAGCTGATGAAGACATTAGAAGCTGGATAAGACCATATGGATGGTCTTCGTGAAAATTGCAGAATAATATATATTGTACAAAATGAAAGATTAAATTATCAATGTAGCATGAAAGCACCTAGCTTCATTTCACCGTTTATTCATCTTGGCCTGAACATTCGGCCAATTTTGGATGAGTAAAACCTTTGGCCACCAGGTAAATTTCAGCCGAATCAGAACGACTCGCCTGGGGCTTGATAAGACGCAGGCCTATATGATTTGATAAACGTTTGGATGATGCGGGTGGAGAAACTAATGGCCGATTTTTGCGTAAGGTAGTTGTATTTAGACAGGCAGAAGAGTCAGCGGTAATCGGAATGCTGCGATCCAATGTTTTCGTAAATCCCAAAGAAGGGGGATCCGACTGCTTTGACAAAGACCGGCTACGTACCCATGGTCCTTTATAGAACTCTGCCACCTCAGCCAAAAAAGCATCGAGCTCTGAACCGGTATTCCAGAGCTTGATTATCAGACTAGCACCAGGCTTAGAGACGAGGGTGGCCAGCTTAAGAAAAAAAATAGACGAATTGGATTAGAAGGGATAGACATAAAGATTAATCTGGTCCTATTATGTACATAAGGCAACAATAAAAAGTAATGGGTTATACGTTATCGCTCCAAAATAATACCATAAATGCGCCACTAATAACTTATATTCGATTCAAGGATAAGAAGATAAATATAACCCGTTCGGTCATTAAGTACTAATCAAACTGCTTGACTATGATGCACAGACATTTAATGATGAGCATGAATCTCGCCCCTTAATACCAGGTGGAGGCCAAAGCCAGAGGCGGCAACCATGCTGCCATATGAGTAAATTGATGAAATCTACTCGCCCTTAAAGTCAATTCTACGTTTGGGGACTAGATGCTGATATCTGAGCCAATATCAGTAACATCTTGTAGTAATTTTACCATGGACCCAGAGACACGATAATTCACCAAAGCATCTTTATCGCCTTCGTTTTCTGGTGAATTATAGTTAAGCATGATGGCCTGCTCTGAGGATGCCTGTCGCACGACAGACGAAAGCTCAGCGAGGATTCATCGAGGTCGCAGGGTGGTGCGCCGAGGACCTATTCGTAAAAATGAAAAGTTCCAGCCCCAAGGCAGTCTCCCTACAATAGCTGGTGAGGAAAACTTACGAATCCCCTCCACCTGCCTCTTCAAGTGAGGCGAAAGGGACTCCAATATCAATCTAGTAAGGGAGTCTTGGAAACTCAGGTTTTATACATACTATATTAAAATCAGGCTTCAGGAGAGGACTTTGCTGCAGTGCTGCTCTCAGCAATTATGACACAAAGTTAACTACAGAAGAATATCGAGTTTTTTAAAGAATAAATAAACAGGAGCCAACAAGCCAGCTGTGTTCGCCTAGCTTACCTAATTCGAGTCCCTCACTTAGTGATTAGTCAGGATCGTGTCATCTTACAAGTTCATCCTTTAGTTCAAGCTTTATCTTAATTCCTCAGTTTTCCTCACCACCACCAGAAGAGTATTCTTTGCGAGCCCAAAGGCTTCTTTTTAATGAAACAGTGCATTACCGCGTATATAAGCTCGTTTACTGGAGCGGCGAGTAAATTTATTACTGATTATTAATTTGTATGCAACAATGAAAGCAAGATTCCAATGGCCTAATATTTGCATTGCTATTACAAACTTTATGTCTCTCGACCTATTTCGAAAATCGGTTCACG